TAATTGCTTGTTTTTGCGTAGAAGTTATAATTTTAATTGTAAATTTTTATTTTAACTGTATTTGGTGTTTTAGGTTTTACTATATTTTAGAATTTTTAATGAAGCTGCTTTGAGTTTTTATGTGTTTTCCCCTTACCACGGAGTGAGAACTGAATTGATTGAATTAGAAATATATTCCCAATGAAATTCGACGAAATAATTTTAAATGCAGTCCTGCAAAAAATGCGTATAATTTACTTTTACTAGGCCGTACAAGAAAGTCACGTATTGGCCACATTAGATATTTTATTATATTGCACTTCCAAAATATGCTTTCATATTTTCATGAATTATACATATTTAGATTACAGTTAGTGCTCACAAATCGTGTCGGCAGTTCAAATTATTATTAAACATATATATTGTATACACTGTATAACGGAAAATTGCAGTACAGTCAATATGAGTTCGAAGTGGCACTGACTTTGGCTGCTATCACATTTTTCTACTGAATTTGGAATCCAGATTAGCGGAGTTTAAGCAAACAGTATCAGAAATTTCCGATTTACAAGGGTCTTGTCACTGAGTTATTTACTCTTGAGTGAAGGAGAAACGAAAAGTTAAAAATTCGTGTGTTTCTTAAGTTTTTTCACACTTTCGCTAACGGTCTGCTGTTGCACTAATTTCAGCCAACCCCCCCTTTTTTTTGTCGTTTAGTGTTATTATTAAGCATTTTTTTTTTCCGCTTCACACCTACGCCATGTACAATTCAACAAGAAAATCACAAAAATTTTACAAGCAGCATAGCAGTAATGCGTTTAGAATTCCCGATGAAGTGCTGGCATGCATTATATATATATATTTTTTTTCTGTCTTTACTCAGCTTATCAGATCAATATTCAGTTTTTATTTATTTATTTTATTTATTTATTTATTTATTTTGTAAGACCCGTTACATTTTTTTTTTTACTTTTTATTATTAATGTTTTGTATGTTAACTTTATCAAATATCGCGTCTTTGTACTTAACGCCACATAAAATTCCGTTGAACAGTAAAAACATTAAAATATTTAAAAACAGTATATCCTTAGAATTCCCACTAGACAGTTGTGATAAAATTGTTTTACTTCCTACAATGTTGCCACTGCTCGCTTTCAGATAGTTGAGTCTGTTAATTAAAAATTCATTAATTCATTAAAGTTTTACAAAATATAAAATAGACAGCAAAATAAATTCGAAATTCAAAATTCGGGCTTCCAAGGGCATAACATGAAGCACTAGATTATTCAAATTTACATGGCTTTAGGTATCGTCTTTTTTTTTTTTTTTTTTTTTTTTTTTCTCTTTCTTTCTTTTTCAGAATGCAAGAAACATATATATTTATTCATGCAGATTCTTTTTATTTAATTTCTTTTAAAATATTACAGGGCTATAATATTTAATGAAAAAATTAAAAAGTGATTCGCCTTTTATAGTGAATTGGCGCAAAATCCTATTTGGAAACTATAAGCCCCTTTTGAGGTCCTGAAATTGAATATCGGCGAGAACATACCTGGCTTTCCTACTGAAAATTCTAAATAGCTCTAGAGTGACACTCGAATAAAATCTGACGAACGATAATTCGCCCCCATTTGGATCTGGCAACTGGGTTCGCTCCCCCCCATTCGACTTTTAAGTGGGAAGAATGTAAAGAATTTTCTCCTCGCTTACCGACTGTTTTCACGAAGGAGTTGGAAGCGCATCTGGCTAGTAATCCGGAGTTCCAATCCATGTAAAGGTACAGCTGACCTCTCACGATTAAGATTTCTTACTCCAAAACAATAATTTTACAAAATTGCTGCAATTTTTATCGCAAATTTTCTAAAATTTACACGTGTATATTCACAGCAATACCCGTATGCGAGTGAGGCGTCTTGAGTTGGAGCTTAGGTGAAGCCTAATTTTTGAAATTGCATCAATAAATAGAACCTTTGGGGAGTAATTAGACCGATTCCTTTTTTCTTTCCACAGTTGATATATTTTAACCTATCTTTTACCTAATGTCAACAGAACTGAGTTCCCGAACAGCACGCAATCGCTTTTCTGCATAATACTGTTCACGATTTATTAAACACAAATTGTTGGACTTTGCGTGATTGACGACGGGGAAGACACAGTTGATTTTTCATGTCTCCTTGATACGAGATTTTTAATGGTCTCCACAAATTTTTTTAATTAAATTTTATACTACCATACTATGCTTTGTTAGTTATATTTCTTAACAGCATCTTGTGTCGCCCAGCCGGTATGATGGTTAAAATCCCGGTTTCGAATCACGGAGAAGGTTTGTAAATGTATTGAGCCCGTGCGGCATGGAGGCACTCTAAATATGCGGCAAGCCGAAAGTCCTCTCGAGACACTGATGGTAGAGGAAGAAGCGTGGGAGACCCTCGGACTCGTTTCCTCGGGGTGCTCTCCATCAAAATTGGGGGAGGAACTGAGCCAAATCACACTTTCACCTGCAAAGTGCTCGATGCAGTTGCCAACAATAGGCGTAAACTTGCGCTCCTTGCCACAAGAAATTTCGTGGGCTTTGGATCATTATAGGTCAGACAAGCAGCATTAGCAACAACAACAGCATCTTGTAGAGGAGAATTTAACTTCAAATATATATCACAAATATAAATTACGATTAGATGTATTGTGAACTCTCACTAATACAAACATCATTCAGCTAAAAACAGCCTTAATCGAAAGAGTGGACCCGTGCTATTGTAGACATTTAAATAGGAGGAGGATAGAGAATTGGAGAAACTATAATAAAAGATAAAGGTCATTATAAAAAATAGAAACTATTAGTTTATGGACACACACTTAAGAATCCTGTGTGTCATTTTGTAACACTATGAGTCAGTATCATTCATAATACCATTAATAACACTATCATATTTTCATACAGAGATTAAATGCATGTTCCATGATGTTAACAATGGATCTCAACCAATTGTATGCAAAAATAAAGGAGTGAGAAATCTTTGTTGAAGCTGTCCTATGAATGACGCTCGAATGCCCACGTTCATTAAGGGATTATGTTAATTAAAAGAATTCTGTGTACTAAAGAGGTTCTATAAAGATAATTAAGTGCCAAAAAGGAAAATATCGAAAACATTTCAACAAACTGCCAAAAGCAATATTAAACTTCAGTTCATTATATATAGATGTGTAAAGAAGAGCATCCAGAAAATATTTGCAATTTTACGAGGAAATTTGTCAGTGTCCTATCATTGGGAATGGAAGTATAGTAGAAGAGGTTTCCTGAAGCCAGAAATTCAAAATTATTTCTGAGACATTATGAATACTCATGCTTTTAAAACATAATCGCTGATTTTTATCGGAAGTTTATCTAGAAGACACTAATCATTCTATACGGAATTTTTGCTTTCTCTCGTGCGTGCTGTTTTTACGTAAGTGGTTAAGAGCAAGTAGTTACAATCCTGGCAAAAGTGCATTTAATTTTCCACATTTCCTGCTATCGACTTTTTCGTGCAAATATTACTAATATTCTTCTTCTTCACTGGCTCGACCTGGGCCCTGGCCTTCTCCAGGCGTCTCTACTTTTGGCAACTGTTTTCCAGTTTTTAGCCTTTAAAATATTAAGATCTTTTTCGACACAAGGAATCCATCTTGGTAGGGAGTCTGCCCCGAGGTCTGTTTTCCAACGGCTTTGCCAGAAAGATTTTTCTTGCAGCAACAATCTTCATTCATTCTAGCCAGACGGCCAGTCCATTTAAGTCTCCGTAATTTGACGAATTTTACAATATCAGGTCGTTTGTAAATTTTATAGAATTCTAAATTAGATCTTCTTCTCCATGATCCGTACCCCCACCAAGACCTCAACGTAAGACCTTTCGCTCAAAAATTCCCAGAGCTTCCTCGTTTCTTAAAGTCAGTACCCAAGAATCTGATGCATAATCAAGACAGATCTTATAAGTCTTTTGTAAAGAAGCAATTTAGTTCTTAATTTAAGAAAGCTGGATTTTAAATAACTCTTCAGCGCATTAAAATCATCTGTTTGCAGCAATGATTCTATTATCTATTTCTGGGGCCAACACATTTTTATCATTTATCTCCGTTCCCAAATAAATAAAACTGTTAACTTTTTCAAATTTATAATTGCCAATTTCTAAGTGACTGAGTTGTAAATCAGACCTTAAGCAAGGTAAATATTTAGGTTTATTTTCGTTTACAAATAAATGAATTCTCTTAGCATTTTGTCCCACTGCCATAAATGCCGGTAAGGTTCAGGCAATAATGCCAATGTCATGATCATAAGCCAGTATTTGAAATATTTCCTCTAATATTGATCTTTAAGCATATTCTAGCGGATAAAAAAAAACTATCTGAAACGATTTCGCTTCCATTAATAGGAATAAACGAGTAATTCCCGATCATTCATTGCAATTAGATCTAACGAATTTAATTCTAGTGAAGGACAGGTAAGAAAATAGGACTGAACATGGAAAAAGTAATTAGATATTTAAGGAGTAGATTTCACGTTGGTGGTTCTGAATCTATTCTGACCTTTTTAAGTAAGTATGTTTAAAAATTGGCCTGAGGAATAAGTTAAATCTATGTAGTAATCTACCCTAAGCATCTAATGTAAGAAAATTCAGCAGTATATAATTACTTGATATATAGCACAAGCATTTCATAATGTGTGAAATGGGATTAGTATAACATACGGATAATACAATGAAGAAATAAACCATGAAGCTAATTTTACTGGAACTTCTGTCTGCAATTAATACTTTATATGAGATAAGAACTATCTTATATATTTATGTATTAATGTACAGAATCTTATCTATATATATTAGTATGCACGCTCCACTTTGCTCGGCGCAACAAGTTAATTGGCACGCATGCCACTGGCACGCAAGAGGCGCAGTTGTCCCGTCATTACGCTTACCGAAAACAAAACCATCAAGAGGGAAATGGAGTGCCTTGCAGAAAACTCGGTAGTTTAATCTCAAAAAGTTGCATGACTCGACGCGGTGTGGAAGGATGCCCGTTGTTGCACGCTGAACTCGAAGAAGCCGGTTTTGAGAGAGAGGCAAAGAAAACCCTTCAGGCTGAGCGAGAGAGGACTGAGGTGTGTGCGCGTTGTTGAGTGTGTGCTGCTTGTTTCGGTTTTCATTCATCCACTTCCTCGATCTGTCGGAGAGGTCGTTCGGCCGCGGATGCTTTGGGATCAACAGGGCCGCTTTAACGGATCCGAAAGAGGGTACTTACAGAGCCACGCAGGGCATGAACTCAGGAATGACGGACTTCTTTCCGATATTCGAAGAATGACAAGTGAGTACTTTTTTTTTCATATTGCTGTTTCACGTGAATGAATTCAATGTCCGACCAATGAGGGGCGAAACTTCTTGGGTTCCGGAATTAAGGGGTGTTGAAAGACAAAACTCTTCCAAAAAAAAAAAAAAAGATCTGAAAGGTTTCAGATTTTAAATTACGTCCAAAGGGGCGTTCTTATAATGTTTTCGTGTTACATTCATTTATTAAATATCATGTTCTGCGTACTCAAACTATAAAATTAAGTTCAACAGCAATATCGCAAATTTATTTTAAAATGAGCCTATCTTTAGAATTTCTGATACAGAGACTCACGCGCTGGAGATAAAAATGTTTTTATTTTTTTGGAAAGTGTTGCCATTCCTCGCTTTAAAATCGTTGAGTTTGTTAATCAAAAATTCGTTGAAGTGTTACGAAATATGAAATCGATAATAAAACAAATTCCAAATTATGGCTTCCACATGCCCATATTCTATGGAAGATTACGTTCAAATTTTGATGGCTTTAGGTACCGTTGTTTTATCATAATGCGAGAAACATACATACATTTATGCAGATTATTCATTATTTAATTTCGTTAATAAACAGGGTGATAATATATGGTGGTAACGATTTGAAAAGTGACACAGCCTTTTAAAGTTTTCTACGCAAAATCCCAATGTCCTTCAGGGCAAATTGCCCCTTTGGACTAAAAATGGTGATTTGGAATTATTGCATTTTCAAAATTTCAACACTTAGAAGTGTAGAGAATTTGAAAAAAATTCTTAAAATGCCATACTTTAATCTCTATGAAAATTAGAACTGTAAAAAATTTAGTTTTAATTGCTTTGATAAATGAGAATTTTTACGTATAATCACGTTTTTCTCCAGATGTGATTTTTTTTATATACTCGATGTACCTTTTCTCAGGAACAGGTATATAATTTTTTATGCTTCTTAATATTTACTGAAATGAGCTTTTCGTGATAAACTAAGAAAAATAAAATTTCACAAATTCTTTTTTAGGAGAAAAGGGCTAAATTTTACTATGCCTGATACAATAGTCTATAAATTATTCTAAAATTCAAAATGTTTTAAAAGCTCATTTCAGCATAATCAGATAGGTGCACTTTAATTAAAAAAAATTTTCAAACGTGTATCTACAGAAAATTTTGAGAAACTGTACATCGAAAATGGCCAATTTAATATTGTCGGGATAGGGGGTTCAGACTCCTTTTAAGGAGTGCATTAAACGCTTTTACTATGCTATATTTATTACACGTTTGTAATTATAAAATATGTTATATTATAGCTATAATGTACGTTGCGTATGGTTTAAGTCGGCCGTAGATGTTCAGAGATGTTTCAGCTCCGCTGCTTGGTGGCCCCTATAATTTTTTCCGGACTTGAATAGATTTATAGTGATGTTCCCAGTATATTTGGCATAAGCAGTCGCCTAGGGCGCCAGCTAAGTTATTCTCAAAAGCAACTGCTTCAGTCAACTCTCGATTTACTGGACGTCCAGAGTTAACTGTATCAAGAACTGTGCTTTTAAGGCAGTTTAATCTACAGACTAAGTTTCTTAGGTTCCCTAAATCAAATTTATGTTTAATGAATTATTTATCAGTGTTTATGTATTCTAAATTACGTACAACTAGATTAATACACACTCTTGCGGATAAAAACAACTCAAAGATGATGTTATATAACCTGCTGTCACTGCTATGACTCCGCGCATTATTCTGTTTAGAAGTTTCCGTATACAGTTTTGTTTTACACTGATAGTTAGGGATAATTATTTTTTCATCATTCCGATCTAAGCAAACTTAATATTTTTAGACGAAGCCCGGTTAATCAGAAACTGACTATAAATAACAGTATATTTCATTTTTAATTATTGTAACATTTAATAGAGGGCGAAATATGCAGATCATTTTAAGATGCCAAAGGCAGTTTTATCGAAGCTGTGGGTATCAACTATTCAGATAGTCTGGCGGTAGTGTTTCCTTTAAGCTTTTCTTGTTTTTATAACAAACAAAACAAAAACAAAAAAAACTATTAGATGTAATTCTGGAATAGTTTTGGGAATCTCTATAATGTCTCAAAAGGAAGTAGCCCAGAAGGCTGTTAATTTCCTTTTGGAATTTTGCGTTGGTTCACTATAAACGGTATCTCACTTATCAAATTGTTGCCACCAAATATTAGAGCCCTGCATTATATTTAAAGAAATTAAATAATGAAGAATTTGTATGAATGTATGTATGTTTCTTGCACTGTGAAAAAACAAGGGTACGTAGAGACGTCGAATTTTAAATAACGTAGTCCTTTTTTTAATTTTTGTTTCTAATTTGAAAGAATATTCCTGAACGATATTAAACATGTTTTGCTTGCAATATTTTCCCCCATATTTGTTAAATTCGGGCAAGTTTTAATAATTCATTTCGAAACGCCCAACGAAATGAGAAAAAAAAGTCAAATCAAATTGATCTCAAAAGTGAAAAATTCTTCCATAAGACCGATTAGTAATTTATTCTAACCTTGATTAATCGCAATAAAATGCATACAGATTACTTGTATATCCTGTAAGAAGACCTCCTATGCACAAGTAGCTTTTATTAACATTACACACAAAGAATAACAGTAAAAAAAATGATACATTGAATTGAAGTTTTCTAAAGACAGCAAATCTAAAGCAGAGTTAATATTTTCAGAGGTTTAGCTTTTTGCTTTTGTTCAAATCCTAAAGATGAATTTACGAATAAAAATTGTTTTTACTGTCGAGAGACATATTTAAAACATCATAATGTAGTGAATATTTTTATAGTTTGTTTAACTGCGCATTTAATTTGTAGTAGAAATGATATTAAGAAATCGGAAGAAATCCAACCTTGGGCACCAGAACAGGGTTTCTATGATTAGATTCTGAAAAGCGATTGTCAAAAAATTTCGTGAATTGGTTTGACAAAAACATTTGTTCGGAATACTAAATAGAATAGATGGAACATAGTACTATATTTTTATTTAAGAGTAAAAATGGTTCTTTAGGTTAAAGGAACATCTTTCAATCCCTAACGTAGTTATCCATTGTTTGAAATTCTTATCGTTCAGTTGGCCGCTAATTACTTTTGTCAGGTACGTTATTCGTCGAACTTCATTCTTTTCCTCCTAAATTGGATCTCAGTTTCTGTGTTGTGACTTAGCTCACTTGTCTCACAGTAACATCAGGACAAGCACACGGAATTCGTGGCAGCAAGGAGAGCAAGATTGCGCCTGTCGTTGGCAACAGCCTCGAGCACCATACAGGTGAGAGTACGACTTCGCCCATTTCCGCCCCCAATTCTGATGGAGAGCACCCCGGGTGGGGACGGATCATAGGGTTTCCCACTCCTCTTTCCCTACCACCAACCTCTCAAGAGGACTATCGGGTCGTCATATATTTACAGTGCTTCCATGCCGCAGAGACACTATACATTTATAAACATCCGTACCTGCTCTGGGATTCGAACCCTTGACCTTCGGTACCGCAGTTGGCTCCCCTAATCACTATACCGTCTGAGAGGCCCCCTCAGTTTCTTTCGAGTCAGGATTTAGACCAAGAATAGGAAATCATTTTGAATAAGGAATTACACAACAAAAAATAACTGAAGAAGCTGAAAGGCCTAAACAATTATTAAGATCACGGAACTGATAACTAATGATAGGAGAATAAAATTCAGTTAAAGATAATCTCCGATTATATATATTGTTGTGTGTATATGTGTGTGGGTGGGTTCGTAAGGTCTGAATGCACACCGAAGCGATGATAGCTTGATAAAATTTATTTTTACCAGAAGCACCAGCTTTACAATTCTGGAAGTTTCCACAAAAACACGCGTACAGTTCTTCTCGGTATCCAGAGCACAATCAATAGTTACACTACAGACTACCAAGAACGTTAAACACAACGCAATGCAAAGCGCATCTAAAAGGCGAAGTTCTTACGGATATCTCAATACTCTGAAGTTGCTCTGAACTAACAAATGAGAAACTGATGCAGTCTCTGGTCTTATATAATTTTCAGCCGGTCGCTAAGAAATCTCCCGGTACCTCCCACTTCTCGAAATGACTGAAAGGCATATGAGGGCCGGATACGGTTACAGTTGCAAACAGAGATAAGTTGTAGTTATTCAGTTACAATACCAATTACAGTTATACAGGAACCGAACCAAAATATCGCCCAATGGTCGTCAAGTATGGCGACTTTGGGCTATTTCTCGTCAAAATTAAGAGCAAAAATTAGTCGCCAAAACTATCGCTAGCATGGAGATATCTCGCGAAATTTAGTGAGGTAAGTGAAACGTACAAGAAATCCCTATTTATTGATACTGTTGCTTACATATGGGTTCCAAATGATAGCCTGATGAAATTTATTTTTATCAGAAGAAACACTTCACAGGTTTGGAACTTTCCACAAAAATAGTCGTACAACTCTTCACAGTAGCGCAGAGTACTATTAGTAGTTACACTTCAAACTACTAAGAACGTTAAACACAACGCAATACGAAGCGCATATAAAGAGCGAAGCTAACCTTGAGGTATCTCAGTACTCCGAACTCATGCTGAACTATTAACTGACAGTGGACGATCTCTCCGGCCTAATATAGTTTTCACCCGGCTGCCGAGATATTTCTAGTACTTTCTACTTCATGAAATTTCCGGAATACATGTAAGGCCCGATACGTTTACAATTACACATAGAAATCAGTTACAGTTATTCACTTACAATACCAGTTACAGTTATACAGGGACCGGATCAAATGTCGCCAGGTTGTCGTGAAATTCGGCGAATTTTGGCTAATTCTCACCAAATTTATTGTCAGCTTGGCGATATCTCGCCAAAGTAGCCAGACACCATTTACTCAACTTTTTTCATAGACTTGCCTTTCTATTCTTACTTTTCCGGCAAAGCATCGTCTTTCTAGATTTTCATGTTAAAGTTTATAGAAAAATACAACAGTTCCACATATAATTGCCCTGCAATT